CCAGTACCCTCTGCAACTAGTTTATCAACTACCCCAGTTACCACCCCTCCACCAGAAGCAATAATGGCAGCTACTGGAGAACAAATAAGATTAGCTCTCGAAGGAATTTTTGGAGTAGATGGAGCTCGATTGAATGCCTTAGGACAAACTGAAAGAATGACAGCAAAGATTGATTATTTCTATGGTACTGAAGCTGAAGATCCTGTAGAATGGCTTGCTGCTTTTGAAAAAGCAGCTACTATCAACCGATGGATTGATGCTGCAAGAAAAAAAGCAATAGCTGGAGGATACTTAAAAGGAGCCGCAGCTGACTGGTTTGAAGAAAATACAGCAACTATAGGAGATAATTGGGATACAACCACAAATGCTGGGAACAATTTCGTAGATCTGTTTAACTCCCGATTCATTAACGAAACTAGGAAAAACCAATGGTACCAGGAATTAACTTCCCTACGACAACATTCGGACGAATCGGTAGATTCATACGCCAATAAATTTCGAAAGTTAGTCAAAAGGGTAGGGTTAACTGACAATGCTCAGCAGAAACGAATGTTCCTTATGGGATTAAACCCTGCATATACTCCAATGGTATATGCCCAAGCTCCTAACGATTTAGCAGCTACAGTAAATGCCGCTAGAAATATAGAAATTGGTTACAATTTCGCCACTGGAAAAACTCCCAGGGATATCAGTGTAACCCCTTCTACTTCCACTATGGCACCAAAACCCACTCCAATTGTTAGTACCGAAATAGATGAACTCACAAAGAAACTGGAACAACTTACGATTAACTACGCCAATTTATCTTCCGCGATGTTAGCTCAACCGCAGGCCCAGAGAAGAAGAAACGGACCCAATGATACTACTTATAGGTCCCAGAACATCGGACTAAATGTCAATACTTACCGATCTCAAAATACCGGACCTAGTGATTTTACCTGTTACAACTGTAATGCTCCAGGACACATGGCAAGAAATTGTACTCAGCCGCGACGATACCGCCAAGATAATCGTAGACCCCGATTTAACGAGACTAGAGAAATGCATTTAGCCGATCAATATCTTGACGAAGATTATGACGACTACAACTATGAAACAGACGAAAATGAAGAATACAAAGTTTACCTGAACACCCGATCAAGACCGTACCCTGATAATCTAACGTCAAAAAATCGGAGGATCAAGCGTGTGGAGTCTCAAAAAGAAGAAAACCTTAGAAGGTTTTCTAAGCCAACTATTACTCCACCTTTTACAGAAGAATTCGCACAGACAAATTCCGTTCCAACTCAAGTTGAAGTTTCTAGCAACCCAAAAAGTATAAAAAGAAGATTAATGCCAGCACCAATCGAACAATTAACGGAATTCAACGTCACCACTTACCTCAGAACCTTCCATGCGGATTATCAGTTGGACAAGCAGCTCACGTCATTCCCAATTATCATTCCGGTTTAGCTAGGGCTGTAAGGAGATCCAGAGAAAAGGTTTCTGAAGAATCTAAAGAAGCCAATTTGGCTGAAAGCGACGACGAACCTACTTCCGCCGCTAAATGTACTCTACAAATCGGAAGAAAAGCTCAAACCGCTATAATCGATAGCGGTGCAACTACAAGTATTATTACAAAAGCCTTGTTAGATCAGTTAGGATATGAAATCGATCGGGCTTCTAAGATGATCATAGTTACGGCCAACGGAGCTAGGACTCGCTCCTTAGAAATCGTAGATGATGTCCCCGTAATAATAGAAAAAATCGAAATTCCAACTTCCTTTCAAGTTCTAGAATCCAGGGATGAAATTTTAATATTGGGAAATGATTGGCTCCAAAATTCAAACGCCAACATAGATTGGAAAAAATCCACCTTGACTATCAGGAAAAATCAAACTATTATTCAAATCCTGATTCCTTTACGAAAACCTCGAAAGTAATAACTCACGATACATCGGAAGAAATCTCGGAAGATGAATACGAAGAGGAATGTCTCGAAGAAATGCTGATTTATTTCTCCGATCCTTCTGAAGAATACTCGACCGATCAAGACGAGCTAGAATTCAACCCATGGATAAACTTATACTCTCCAGAAAGCTCCGAAGCTGAAACGGAAACTGAAGACGACGATGATGTCAACTTGATAAAAATCAACAAAAATCCAGCTATATTCTTAGCTGAAACCGTTCAAGATGAACCCATGCATATAAATCAAACCGGACCTCTTGACCACCATCAACAAGAACTCTTCCAAGCTCTTCTAAACGACAATACTGACATTTGTGCTAAGAGTCAGACTAGGATCAGAAGAACGAATTTAATCAGACATCAGATTCTAACTGGTGATGCTGCGCCTATTGCACAAACCCCATATCGAACAAATCCAAAGAACTGAGAATTCCTTAAGAACGAAATAATAAAAATGGAAGAACAAGGAATAGTCCAAAAATCTTCCAGTCCTTGGGCTTCGCCTGTAGTAATTGTAGATAAAAAAGGCGGTGACAAAAGAATTTGCATAGACTATCGCAAATTAAACGCGATTACAAAAGCCGATGCTTATCCTTTACCCCGAATTGATGACCTATTAGAAAGTTTTGGAGCCGCCCAATGGTTTACTACATTAGATCTTGCCAGTGGATACTGACAAGTAGCAATGGAAGAAGCAGACATAGAGAAAACGGCATTTATAACACCTTTCGGGTTATACGAATTTCTAGTAATGCCCTTTGGACTAAGTTATGCCTCTGGAACATTTCAAAGATTAATGAATAAAGTCTTACAAGACTTTCTCAAAGATTTCGTCGCTGTATACCTAAACGATGTCATAATCTATTCAAAAGGAAGTTTTGAAGTACATATGGACCATATATGTCAAGTGTTCAAAACTATTCGGAATGCAAACTTAAAAATTAAGTTAAAGAAGTGCTACTTTTGCTTACCGAATATTTATTTCTTAAGACACGTAGTAGGACGAAACAGAATTCGTCCTGATCTCGAAAAAATAATTAAAGTCAAAAACTTCCCAAAACTGATGAACCTTACTCAACTCCATGCTGCTCTCGGATTATTTTCGTATTATCAAAAATTTATAAAAGATTTTTCAAGGATTGCTCGACTTATGCTTACATTATTAAAGAAAGATGAACCCTTTCTTTGGGGAGATAAGCAACAAATAGCATTCGATAAATTAAAAGAAATGTTGATTAAAGCCCCAATTTTAAGTTACTCCGATTTTAATAGATCTTTTATCATTTACACAGACGCATCTGGGATAGGTTTAGGAGCTGTTCTCTCTCAAGAACAATCAGATGGAAAAGAACATGTTATTGCCTATGCAAGTCGGAGTTTAAACTCAGCCGAGAAAAACTATGCCATAACCGATTAAGAATGCCTAGCAGTAGTATGGGCAATAAGACACTTTCAACATTATTTAGGCATGAAACCTTTCATACTTGTAACCGATCATTCAGCTCTAAAATGGCTACAAACCTCTAAATTACCTAAAGGTCGAAGAGCAAGATGGGTAATGGAGCTACAACAATACGAATTCACTATTAAACATAGACCTGGAAAGGCTAATGCAAATGCTGATGCACTATCGCGAATACCAGATGAAACAGAGGTCTTTTTCTTAAATTTTGAATCGGATATAGAAACTGGCTATAATTCTTCTATCGAAAATAACTATATCACAGACAATCCATCTCATTCGGAGGAAAATGATGAATGTGAAACCGAATGGTTCATATCAAATCCTTCAAATATTCAAGACCAAATGTTAGAAGACGA